ATGATAATGATGATAATGATGATGATGATAATGATGATGATGATGATGATGATGATGATGATGATGATGATGATGATGATGATGATGATGATGATGATGATGATGATGACGATGAGTACGTCTGATCAGGGAACTAACTCAAGTTACAGTTACATATTTTATTGAATTTTTGTGCATGTGTAGATTTCATTCTACCCATGTAGAATACACTTCATAAGTCTTTCAAAAGAGATATTTTTAAAATGCGAATTGATTATTATATATTTCTAAAGGGACTTAAATTTTTCCATTTGCATGCGTTAAATAAATTTTTCCTGTACTTTTTAAACAGAATATTCCGTAACGAGGTGTTTAAACAAATATTAATTAATCAAGCAAACAATCTTTTGAAGGAGCAAACACGTGTCACTTTAAGTCGGTTCAAGTTGAATATTTCGGAGATTGTAAACCGTCTGCAGCCACGGTTATGTGTATTCTGCAACGGTAAAAAGAAGTCTTCGCACATACAAAGTTCTATTAAAATCTGGGAATCACACTCGAAGCGTTTCCTTCGTTGCGAACCACTGCGCGCAGAAAGACTTGATTACCAAAAAAAAGTAGAACAACAACAAAAATCAATTTTTCCACGAAGAGATGTAGAATACAATTAATAAATCGCACGAATCTGATTTTATCGGACGAGTACGTATGTAACGTAATTATGTCGAAAAGTAAACAAAGGGGACGAAAGGGAAAAAGAAAACTGTGTAAAGTTGGGCGTTGTCGATCGGTAAGAGTGTCTTTAAGTTACGCGCGAATACGTGTATGTACATGTACCAGCCATTTGCAGTGGTGTATAAGGCGTGATAGTCGATATTGTTGTTAGGTTTTTTCTACTTGTACATAAACTGGCGGCGTTATGTGAAAAATATTTAAAAATGTATGCGAGAGAGAGAGAGAAAGAGAGAGAAAGAGGGAAAGTGGGAAACAGAGAGAATGAGCGAGAACGAGTGAGAACGTGTACGTGGGAGAGAGAAAGAGAGACGACAAAAACAAAGACACACTGAGAGACGGATAGAAGCGAAATGAACGATGCGCGTGTTGGGCAATACGAAAAAATAGACCTGTAAACATTTAATGTTTTTAACGATCTTGTACACACGAATACACATGTAAATACATGAATATATTATGGTAACGCGAGCATAAACATTTAATGTTTTTAACGATCTTGTACACACAGATACACGTAAATGTAAATACATCGAAAATTTACCGAAAGTAAAGACGGTTGATTCCTGTTGTTCGTTTCCTAATTCTCTTCATTTCCTTTTTCATCTGCTATCCTTATGCAAGCGTACATAAATTAATGAAAAAAAGACAAAAAACAAATAATGCTAACAGTGTTTCAGGTGAAACAAAAATGAGTTCACGTAGACGAGGATGGTCTGTGAAATGGCCGGTCTAATGTACACAGATCTGGCGAGTCTAATCGTAAGTGCAGTTCGTTTCAAATTGCGTGTTCAATAATAATATGCCAGTTTGCGTTAGCATTTCCCATATATTACTAAATTAAAACCGCTCGTACGAACTGATTAAGGTTAATACTGAATTAGCACGGTTAAAATGCGACGACACCGCAAACAGTATGTAGAGGAAACATCGGTAATCTGTGTAATTAATATAATTGATTTAGTCGTTTCCTTATCGTATATTCTATGTAATTTTCAATTACATTTTATCTGTGTTTGCTTGTGACAAATAAAAATATAAGTATTTATCGTTTCTCACTTCATTGTGATCAGAGAAGATACGTTCTATTTGATTAATGATTTTCTGCGTATCGCTAATCTCGTGAATTTAAAACTGGCACTCCTTCGGATATAGGAAAGAATGAACTACGTATATTCCATCTCTTAAAATATTTTTTTGCATTCTGACTTTTACAGTAATTCATAGTACGATTAAAATTGGATATTGTAGTTTGATGTTTGAGACACTTCAATATCAAATTGTTTATCTTCTATTTGGAACAAAGTAATTTTCTATGAGTCTTTAATAGTCTTAAACAAAACTGTTTACTATATTTTATTATTACTTACAGTATCCATTTAGTTATGAGTAAATTGTATTGATAAATATTGAAATTCTAATTTCAATTTGATTCTTATTACATTCAAAGATTATTCATTCATTTTTATCCGATAATATTATTGAAGTTCCTCCGCTGATAACGTTGATATCATTCGTTAATTCCTTAATACCGTTGAACTTTAGCCATTCCTGTTGTTGAAACAAATCACTGAGATATCTTTGGCTGTATAGTAAAATTATATTCAAGGGAATATATCCATTTTAATGTCGCAATGGATCAATCATAATATGTAAATATGTAAATAAAAGAATGTCGTCCTCGTAGGATCGATTTCCGCAATGAAAAGTTCATCAAATGTCAATAAAATGTGAACGTAAATTTATAATATCCTGTGTCCTGCCAAATCTGTCAAACAATTTCAATGAAATCAGGATCAAAGACAGATTTGCTTTGAAAACTAAAGAACTTATTAAGATGGAAATAATATAAAGTCTCATGCGTTTTTATTAAATCCTTTTATTTTATTGTGTCTTACACATTTGCATTAGCCATAAATGCATGGAGTCTGCAGTTTAGTTATTATCGTTAACATATTCGCGATTTCTTCTAAACTAACAATTAATTAAAGAATAAAATTTCATTTAAGGGGATTACTAATACGAATAAATATAAGAATCTCTTTGTTGGTAACAAATAGACGTTGTTACAATTAAAAGTTTATTGTTTATTTGTGAATAAATCGTGGACTTTTTATTCATTATTCGAAATAACATTTATCCAAGTCTGTACCTAAGAATTCTGTACAAGGAGTTTGTTCAATACTTACACTCATTCGCACACGATACTACTTAATACGTTTCTTTTTTTATAGTAAAATCTGACGCAAGAAAATAGTTGTAACTATGTTTGTAACAGGATTTTAATTTAACTTTTTAAGTCGCAGCTAGTTATACAAAATGTAACTAGCCGAAAGAAATCGAAACCGAAATAATTAGTTATGGATGTGATTACATACACGTGTTTATGATTTAAAAGAAAAAACTTGTCTTACCATATTCTCTTCGAATACCAGGTTTAACGATGACGTTCGTTAGCTGTCAAACTTCACGTTAATACACCTTTACTTTAGTCATACTTCGCTTGCCTCGCTATTTCCCCTTCACCCTTCTTATCAATATATTTTTTAATTACTTGCTTTGTTTTGTAGAATAAACTCGATGTTATCGTTATTATCAACATCGTATCTCAGAAAACTGTAACCGTGAAGCAACCGATTATAAATTCCGGTTTCGATTTCGTCATTAAAATTCTAGAAGACTGTCTGTAAAATGCTAGTACAAACTATCAAACGAAACATCGGGAAAATGAAACTGTAGAACGTGCTATCCAACGTTACTCCAACATTTTCAAGCAGTATTGTGCATGATGGGTTGTCTGTTAATTCGTAACATTGCGATAACCGACATCAGGGAAAGTGTTAATTTTATTCAATCTCGACTGAATATTTTTAGATAAAAAAACAAGCACTCTGACAACCCGCGTTGCCTCGCGTTAAAGTGATTCGTAAGCACAACGAGCGTGACAAGGAGATTGTATTTCAACACTACTAGTTAACGAACTCGGTCACGTGTTCCACGTTAAAAGCGAGCGTGAGCAATTATCCTCATTTGAATTTCAAAGTTATTTTGCGGATTTCGATGCACCGTTTTAAAACATTATAGGGTCAATCGAATTCGATAAGATGTGCGCATTAGTGGGATTAAGATTGATTGCGTTCAGCGTGGACAACGTTTCGATGTATGCGCATGTCTGACTGCAGCAATACGTAACTTAACTAGACGGAAACGGAGGGAACATCGTCACGTTTCTTGTATTTATGAATCATTTCAGTTTAATGCATTAACTGCTCCAATAATTCTTAGTGCCCGACCTACATTCTACTCAACTGTAAGAAGTGAGAATTATTTTTTTCTTGAAATATTCATTTTTACCCGATGGATTTCACTGAGGAGATTTTGTACTTTCCAACCTATAGAATCAGATTTATTTTTTCTCGTTTGAAGACTGTAACTTTTTTCAAATGCTTTTGATACTTTTGGATATACTTTAACGTTAAACGTACCGGCACTTTTTATACACCTTTTCCTACTGTTATTTTAAGATAATCAAACCAGGCAATAAATATTTTCGGATGGAAACAGAAACAACAATAAAGATAACAATTGAGAAATTGTTTAATAGTTAATATAAGAATTGATATAAAGTTAAGTGAACGGAAGAGAATGCAGAATTTTAAAACTGATTTTTTTATCACGCATAGTACATTCAGGATTAACAAAGGTTTAAAAATTTATTTCATTTTATTATCTCCGCGATGCGTTTTTCTTGATATAAAAAACTGAGTGAATTAGTTCAGTAATTTCGGATATTATTTTCAGAAACAAGATTTCGCCAATAAGAAATTATTGTTTAAACAGGAAATTATATAAATCAGTTGATCATTGAAGTAAAAAGAGCTGCAAAAAACAAAAAACAGCACATGGAATTGTTATAGAAAACGAATTTCTTATCAGACAAAAAAATGACACTGGAAATGTTCATCTCACGTGAAATTGAATTCATTATTGCTCCAATGATACTTGCCACCTACAATAGAATAATGCACGAGCCAAGTGGGAAGTATCATTGAAATAATATCCACCCCGATAATCCATAAAATTCGTTAAATATACAGGTAAATATCTACTTACCCCAACATCGCGTTCGTTCGCTGTAAAAAATTCAGACGGTTACCCGCGTGTGCGCGTCGTCCAATAGAAAAGACAATTACTTTTAATCGATATATTTAAAATTAATGGTCATGGCCAGTTTACGTTTAAACAATACAGAACACCGCTCCACTAGCGGTGTACCTATGTATATCTCGCGTTTTACTTTCCTCTCAGGTAGAAACAGCAGATTTTCATCGTTGTTCGACGTGGCGTAACGACATTCCTCCGGAATAGTTTTTCCCCGATCGCTGTAACCGATTCACAATCAAGTGCACGAACATTTAAGAACGAATTTTTGAACCCTTTCGCGACGGTCGAACGGAAGTTGGAAGGGGGGAGGGGGTAGGCCCGATTCAGACTTGATCATCGTGATTCCGTCTTCCGCGATGTAGACATACCTTTATTATATTGCGACTTGTCGAAGGCTATAATCGTCCATGGAACTGTGAACTTGTAGCGAGGGGTCGGTCGCTCGCTGTCCCGAAAGGGTTCAAGGGTACGCTGCGACAAGTCGCTATCTAGTGGCAACGCGCTAAAATCGAGGGGGCGAAAAGGGGAAGGACAGTGATTGCAAAAAACATCTGTTGTAAAAGTTTCGAAGAAAATCTTCGGTTGGCGATACCGTCGAAATTTTAGCCGCGAGACACCGAGTCATCGTTCCATGGTTCTCACACCGTCCGCCGTCTGACCATTCATCTTCGGCCATGTGTTGATTTTATAATTAGGTACTTATACGAAATCATATCTAGCATCACCAGTTGCAAGGCTTTCTCGGTCACTCAACGCGCATGCAAAGATCGCTCGGTAAAACGTCCCGTTGAACGTGTTCTCGTTGTATTACACGCGAAGCAAAGGAAGAGTTCGTCCCTCCGCGGGAATCACACCATCATCGTAGGTACAGTTGGGCCACGCACACGCAACTCTAATATACATATACAGCTTCTCTGGCACACACAATTTTAGGTTTTTTAGTTTATTATTTCATTTCTTCCTTGTTCTTTTTTCCTTTCTTTTTTCTCGTCATATTTTCTCCGTGTTCTGGATTCGTCGTGCTCTCCCGATCGTCTATTTCCGTCTTCATTTCCTCTTCGGCTTCGTCCGCCTCTGCTCGTGAATTCTACCGTAGTATAGACTCGTACGAATATATACACAATAGTAACAGTCTAGGTTTCTAAGGCTGCTAAAAGTCTCACTTGTCGGATCTCCCGCGAGAAAAAAAGGTTGGGGTTGCGAGGGGCGCGGGGAGAGTCGCGGCTCCTTTTCAGAGTTCGGGTATCGACAAAGGGTTGGAAACGTGAACGTCCTTTATACCGTGCGTCTAGTAAATCACTTCGTATACAGTGGCCTTTTTGTCGCCGGATCCGGTTACGATGTACTTGTCGTCGGCGGAGATGTCGCAGCTCAGCACCGACGATGACTCCTTCGACTGTAAAAAAAATTGATATGGGTTCCCATGTGCTCGTTGCGAGTTCCGCGTTTTTCCTTTTTCTTTTCGCACCTCTCTCCGTATTGCATGCGCGAGAATACGCGGATACGTGAAACGGAGTGATATTTTGTATGGCATACAGGATGACTCCAAGCTGTTCTCACAAAAGAAGGTGTTGGATACTTTTTTGATTATTCTTAGACGATGACTCCAACATATATTTATTTAACTGTAAGAGGTTCACATTATGACGAATTGAAAGTATTATTTTTAAGTCACTAATCACAATGTAATTTAAAGAATGTAGGATAATTCTAGGTGAGATGGCTCGATCTCGTTTAAATTATAAAATATCTGTGCTTACAATTGCTTTTAATGGCAAACTAAGTCTTATCCAGAAGCCTATGTAACTATTCTTCTTATATTTATGTATAATACTTTCATAAATATTTTCTTTGTTAGGTATCACAATTCATTTTGACATTTCACATATCACGTATCACATTGATATTTACGATATAATAGTTTTTTAAAAAATGTGAGCCATCTCTTCTCGATGCACTTTATATGAAAAAGGCAAAGTGTCTTAATATAATTGATCGTTAATCTTTTTGGAAAATATTGAACCTTTGATTCTTTATGGGTTTAGGTTTATCGAAGTTGCAGCAAGTATTGCACTGGGCTAGAAATTTTGAAAAATTTTTGCCGGCCGTCAACGAAAATTCTCTCACTTAACCGGCCGGTTAAATCCTATACCCTATGATTTATTTCTTAACTATAATCGATACAACTATCTTGCCGTTAATAATTTATTAGGAAAAGAAATAAATTCTGATGCTTATTCTATGTTTACGTATATTGCAAATAGTAACGACTGATAATAGAAAATTAATATTTAATTTAAATTAAGAAAACAGTAAGTAACACATAGATTTGTCAAATTCAGTTCAAAATTTTCGTCACGAGTCCGACACGGTATTGTAGGTCAAGGGGTTAATCAATAAACAAAAATTCATGTACTCAGTCACACCTGGAATATTGAAGCTCCGTACGGTGTGCGCCAGGCATTCAACAGATTGTCCTTGCCGGTAGAGACGAACCATTTGCCGCAGGACGCGAAACGCAACGATAGGACGCAGGATTCGTGCACGAGCAGACAGTACTTGTCAGACTTGGACGCGTGGAGTACCTCGACCTTCGAGTTCTCCATACCGACCGCGAGCCATTCCCCAGTCGGGCAATAGCCCAGGGAGAATATTTGCGAGTTCAGGTCGTGCTGTTGTAGCTGTCTGCCTTCCCTCAGGTCCCAGGAACGTACAGTGTTGTCCAGGCCTCCTGTCCAGAGCTTCGATCCGTCGGCCGAGATGTCGATACAGGATGCGCCGTCTGTGTGTCCTTGGAATTGCCGGATCAAAATCTCGTTGTGGAGATCCCAGACGGCGATGTTGCCATCGCTGCAACAACTAAAGCAGACTTTCGAATCCGGCGAGATGGCCAGCGCGTAACAGGCTGGCGCTGAGGAGGTCAGCTCCGCCTTGATCCTCGGCGTCGGGCTGGCCAGGTCCCAGATGATCAGCTGCCTCGCCTCGCCGCCGACTATCAGCGTCCTACAGTCCGGCAGTAGCTTCACTGACCTGCAAACAAGGAGACAATGTACTTTTCCTGTTATAACTAAGCTGAAACTTAACTTTATCATTTAAAGGAAGGTGCTATCGTATTTAACCGTTTGACTATAGGGCGCTTGGAAGTAGAGGTTCTTGTTACGCGGTGTTGAGAAGATAGTCTCGTATTGCACTTTTTACATTTCTTGAATTCTGTTCTGAAGAGACATATTTTCGAGAACAAAGGCATAGCGCTAACTTCTTACAATAATTTGTTTAGTCAATATGTAGAGAAATTGCTGACGATACTTTCAGCTATGTTGTATAGTACGCAAACCAAGATAACAAATGTGTATTGAACGCAACAAAATGAATTTTGAATGAAGATTAAGCTACTCCGGAATTACGTTACTCCGATCAGCTCGACTTCAATCATTGACATAAATGTTATTGTATCATTTCCATGACAGCGTATAATTTTGTTCATTAATTACGGCAGGTTATCCAACTATCGGGCAACTGACCTAATATAATTGTTCCGTTGCAGGCAGTCCAGCTGCGACACAGGCTTGGTACTGCCGCCGCCTTCATGTCCGATGTCCCAGACTTTCACGCACCCTTTGCCGCCAGTGTAGACGTACTTGGTCGGATTCGAGATGGTAACCGCGCACACAACTTCGCCGTGAGTCAAGGTATTAATCTGACGCGCGTGACGTGGAATTCCCGGTCCTATCAGAGCGTCCGTGGGGAATGCCACAGGCTGCATCTCACCCTCGCCGTTCGCATGGAACGAGATTGCTCTGCGGTGAAATGTAAAACGTTAATGGCTTTGTCGTGGCGAAACAGCGATGTCTTCGATTACTTAAAAGCTCGCGTTTAACGAAACGCGCGCGGAGAAACGGCACCGCGGAACTAATGGCACGCGAGCCGGCGCCCCGGTGATACCGGAAACGAATCGTCGCTCATTGTTCCGGGAGCTATGGTCCCGCGGATAAATTCTCGATAAGTTCGCTCGTCGTATAGTCGTTTCTTTATCGTTCAATGAAATGAGACGGGTATCGTAATAAAATTTCATAAAGTAATCGGGTTCTTGGGGACGCAATAAAACCCGTGAGACGGAAACCGAGTGTCTCTTTTATGCCCACTCTTAAAACGTTCCCTCGAAAAATGAGAATCCGTATAAACATCTGTGTTTTAATTAGTATTTCTGTTTAGTTCTTTCCCGACTGAAGCCGTTGATAAACGCGATCATTAAATGTAGGAAGGAGGCGATCTGTGTGAAAAATCGATGACGCGTGAGATCTTTTATTCGATAGATCATAATTACGTGTTGCAAGAAATTTGTTGTATGTTTTGAAATGAAATAATCGATTTTGATTGTTTATATGTAAATGGTTCAATATTCGGTTAGCACAGATTATGATTTAGAGGCTTGTCCAACCCGCGGCCTAAGATGGTTGTAATTGCGGACCAACAATAAATCATAAGCTTACAAACTTTAGAAGATTGTGATTAAAAGATTCATTAACAATACTACAAATATAAGTTGAACATGTTGTTAATTTATTTATGACAGCGGAGGCTACAAAGGTTGGACACTCTAATATAGATTGATGTTACGCCGAAATGTCGGTATTCAATGGATCTTTTTCGTAATTTGCCTTCAAATGACAATTGCAGTGTCAGATACGTACGTTTTACCGCCTGGGACGTTGCTCATCCCGTTACTCGGTGGTATCCTTACGTGACCATCGAAACCGAGCTGTAACAGGCAACGAAATGAATGGAATTCTGCGAAAACAGAGCTCGGGTACTGTGATTGCCTTGAATAATACTCGGGGTTTAGGGAACAGTTACAGTGTTTCCCCTTGCTTTATCGACTGAATTGTAATGGCACCGGGTATCTTTGCCACACGTGAGGCTTTCTGTTGCCCCTCGTGCTCGCTTGTTACTGTCCTTCTCTCGAAGGAATCATTTTCTTGAAAGGAACGATTGCAAATTTGTACCCGGTGCTCTCTATAATCGCGGTACCTGAATCGGACGGTGCGATTACGTGGGGGGTGCCCTGGACATATTAAACGAAAGAAACCTCTAATCTCGCCTCAATCACCGGTGAAGGATACCGGATGTTACCCCAACCGAAATACAAGGGCTCCATTAAGTCCCTGTACACGCTTCCCGAGCGCATTTAAACGTTCAATTATTCAAACGTAGATAAAACGTTAATCTGATTGAGTCATTTATTTAGTGATTAAAATTATTACCATTAAGCGTTTGAAATAATTGATATGTAACTTCTTATAGAAATTATAAGAATAGTTTTTTAAGCTTCCACATGACATTCATCGCATTATGTTAACAATAATTTCAAGAATAATTTTGAATACAAGCATTTTTAAAACTTTAATCATTGCAAGATAAAGAAAATAAATTAGTGATTTTATCAAAGTTACTAAGCAATTAAAATGTTAGTTTTATTTCCGCATACGAATCACAACGGTAACTTTTTGCAACTTGACAAAAGTTTAATTACCGTACGCGTATACAAAGACTTTATTTAATAATTTTTCACGACATCACATTTATGAATTCAGTAATTATAAAACCATTTGAAATATATTGTTTTAACCTGCTAGTTCCACTGGTAAAATTTATTAACCCTTTGCTAGCGAATGTCGTAGTGGTGAGTCCAATCTTCGATATCCAAAATCGAAAGCTGCACTCGAATAACTTAACCATTATATTCAAATAACAACGGAATCATACTTCTATTCCTCTTTTCTATTTCAAACTTCCGTACATAAATTAATTTTTACAAACAGACTTTGTAAAACTTCAACCAATTCTCATCCACGAAGGGTCAACATTTTCCGCGGAGAATATCCCTCCGAAACAGAGATTAAAAAGGTTCCAAATATAACTATTTGAAACTGTTATATATCGATTCCGACTAAACAGTTATGAAGAACCAACATAAAATCGCAACTGTTGTTAAGTACATCGGTTCTGAACTATATTATTTTTCGATTCTTCATTTCGTTTCTGTATTTTGGTTCGGCTTTAAATCGAAGTTGCTGCAAAACTTTCAGAAATCTGCCATTTATAACTTTTTATTATTTTTATAAAACTTCACATTTTCAAGGTAAGAAAGTGCTACCGCAAAGTATTGATACATGTATATATATATATTAATATATTAATTCATTTAAATTTATAAATTTGATTTATTTCTTCAATATTTATTTGTTTTTATTAAATTATTTATTAATACACAATATGGAACGAGAATGTTTTATAAAATAATAAAATTACGAGTTTAAACTTATGTGCGACCTTCCCCATACTTTCTCGAAACGTTCGCAGCAACCCACATAGCAATTATGACTTCATTTCATTCTCCATAACGGTTTCAACAATCAAAACCGATATGCCAACTGTTTCCAACCCCCGCTCCGTAGTCCAGAAACACTCCGTTCATCCCGAAATCGATCATCCCCGCGCGCAAAGCCGATCGGCAGAGGAATGGGGGAGGTATCTACCATGGAAGTCCTGGCGTACGGTAAGTTGCTGTACGGCGAAGACGATTGCGGCGGCTCATTGCCGCGGGACGGCAAACCCTGATAGCCCTGCGGTGGCGTTTGCTGCGACGATGGCGGATGATAGACTCGCGATGCCAAGGGCCCAGGGATTCCGCCCATAGTTGGCGTACAGCTGCGCGACCCCCTCGCCGCCGCCACAGGTGTACCCGGCTTGTCGATCTGCGGAAGAGAAGGGTTCACGCCCGGCACGGGACGCGCCGGTTTATCATCGGGGCCGCAATCAGAGAAAGGAATTGTACATTTCACGGTCGAGTTTACGCGAAAGCAACGAGACGTATCGATCCTTGCCGCCGATCGTAAGCGCGTGTTTCTGGTTCACCGGTTCGACCAGAGAGGAACGGGTGACACCGCTCGTCGGACGGGTAGTAGCTCGGGAACTCGGTGGCTTGGTTGGCGAGGGGAGGAGGACGCGGAGGTGGGACCAGGTCCCGAACGCCAGTTCCACCGGCGCTCGTGTAAATTGACTTATCGCAAGTTCGCGAGCGACAAATTTTAACGGCGCGCATCGGTGGATACACAGCCGGGTCGGGCCGACCCGCCTGAAAGGGACCACCGAAATATCTCTGTTGTGTTTTCGAAGCTGCGGAAGAACACCGTGCTCGTTTTCCGCGTTCAAAATCGAACCAGAGAATTTGCTTTCCCGGGTATCGATTACCGTTTTCTGCCGGCGTTTTCACGAATTTTTGTTTACACTGCTTTTTCCGACATTAAGAGGAAGAGAATCTTCTCTCCCGACGAGATGTGATTTTTGTACTTTGATTTCCGGTGGATTGGTATCGTTCGAAGGTTTTGAAAGTTTTTTCAGGGAATGACTTTATAATTCAACCATTCGCGTTTGGGAGGCGAACGGAGTCGCCACTCAATTTGATACAGTGCAATTATAAAACTTGATATTTAACACTAGGTTTACGGAACGCATCAATTTGGTGCACATTGAATTTTATAAATATTATTTGGCAAATGTTTCAGCCGGTCTTGATTGATCCAATTGCACGAATATGTATCTTAATTATATATTTCTAAATCTATAATTTTCAAAATCTAAACGGACGAATATCAACGTTTTAAAATGCAATAGAATGAACTGTACGATAAATGCCTGTAAACCTAGTGTTAATAGACTTTGTACGATACAACGATGAATTTACATGTGATTCCTCTTTAAGCGAGTTTCGAAAAATATCAGAAAATGCGAAATGTTTTTAGTGAACAACTTTCGAGTATAACGGTTCGAATCTAAGTCGACTAGAGAATTATGGAATAACAACCGACATATGGAGAATCATTTTTCTCCGTCACATTTAAACATTATTCCACGAAATATATTTCTACACCACGAAAGCAACAAAATTATTTGAGCGTTTCCTTTCAGCCGCCTCGTGATGTATAGATGTAAAGGTGAAATTAATCAATTCGAAATGATTTAATTGGTATCGAATAATTCGACATCTTCAGAAGATCATTCGATCAGAAGAACAACTCGAATACCGAGCGACATTCTATACGCCTCTCACGTTAGCTCCATCGACCATCAAGCTAAAAGTGTACAGGGGCAAGGGGGCTCTTCGACTCACGATGCTCGAACTGCCCCGACTTTCGACGCATGGTCATTATTGGCGCGCGGCAATAACAAAGGACGGAAGTGAGACTGAATGCGACAGAGTGAGACAGAACTATAGAGACTCTTGTTTTCTATCGTTACGTCTCACTTTATCGCATTCGGTGTCGCTTCCATTCTTTGTTATCGCTGCGTGCCAATAATGACCATGCGTCGAAAGCCGAGGCGGACCCATCATCGTGAATGGAAGAGTCTCCTAGATCCTGTATACTTTTAGCTCGGTAGCCGATAGAGCTCTAACGCGAGAAGCGTATAGTACTTTAGTTGCGCCGTCGGAGGTGTTCAAGGTTTTTCGTCGAAACGAATTCGGTGACACAAAGTTGGAAGGGGACCGGACCGATTAGTCGCCGAACAAGCTTGCTATCCGCGAGATCTTACATCTTTACTTTTCAGAGACGGTGTGCTACGAGCGGAGGAGCTTCCGCTCCGCGAGGGCGGCCTGTCTTTTACGGATGCCGAGCCAGCGCCGGAAGTCGGTCCCGCGTGTCCTGGAGCACTCAGCTTCTCCAAGGTGCCGTTCTCACGTGGATCTGAGTGTTCGCCGTTCGCGTGCGGTGATGACGCCTCCTTTTGCCGGCAAAAAAAGAAGAAGATTTCTTTGAGAAATTCGAGATCCGAAGATGCGCCCTCTTTCTTTCTAAGGCTACTGTAAAGCACTCTTCGAGAACTGTCGCGATCGTTGCGCTCTTTCCTTGATTCCAAATTACAGTACATCTTTAACACTAGAACTATCGAGCGATTAAATTAATCTTTTTAAACTTTCTTTTATAGAAACGTAAGAGTGAATTTGTTGGGATTTCAATTTACTTGTATTTTAGTTTGCGTATTACATTTATCGACTACGTTAATTATTCTTAAAAGAAGCATTTACTTTTTTTCAATAATTATGAAAGAAGAAATCAGAAATTGGTCGTTTTGACCCATCTGGTGGTTCTAGCGGTATGTTCGTTTTCTTTAATGCCACGTACCTCAACTTTACATAATATTGTAGTGGACAAATAGGTAAAGGATGTAGGATATGAATGAAGAAGAAAGAAAATGGACATTTGTATTATAGACGTGTGAATTTGAGGTTAGAAAGTATTAAGTAGATTAAACTTGTCTCCAGGGTGTTTGAAAAGTGCGATGCAGAGGATAGTTGGGTAGGTGATATGAAATAAAAACTACCCTATCAATGGTGTGTCAATAACGCGTGTCTGAAGAGTTGACTAGATCATTCGCGATAGTGGACTTTTATTTCTGGCGTGCAATGAAACAGTTTGTGCTAACAGTCGAAATTGAAGAGGAGTGGTAGAGATTCATAGTAAGCGACACTAGAAGAGAATTGTCAATTGTTTCTGCAGTTAATCGAACTTTGTTTAAGGGATACCGGGTGGCCTCGCTGATGATACATAGTAACATTTATGTAGTTAAATCTCCGACGCTTTGTTATTAATACAACACATTTTTACAGCGTATTTTAAAGTTAGCGTATACACCGAATTCATAAGTGGTAGTAAGGAAACATTTTCAATAAAATAAAAACAGTTTACGTAAGTCATTCTTCATTTTTTTCAAGTATTCGTAAACTAGAGAATTTACAGTAAATAGTTAAAATACAGTGAACTATGAATAGTCAATGACGAATGTCATTTGATATCACAAAATTGTTCTGTTCTACATATAACATGCTCTCATAGACGATCGTAAACAATTTTCTGCAAAGTATTATATAATACAAAAATAAAATTGTTTCTATTAATATAAGAAATCTTCGTTTCACTACATAGATAATTACCATACTTAAATTACGAATGAAATCATAAGTATACAAATTTAATATGACCAACTGAAAATTCTTATGAAACAGAATTGTACGAAAAGCGGGATAATTAGCACACTTTCCAGTTAACAACGACTAATCATTTAAAAGGAACTAAATATTCGGTACAGCTGAAAATAAAATGGTTCGCGGGCAGCGTTCCGGAGCCACTCTAAACGTCTAAGAGCGAACCGTGTCTGACCACAAGTCAATGACGCACATCGTCATCGCTTCAGCCTCGAAAAAAGGTCCTCCATTTTCATCGACGGCCTCCGCGCATATACGCTGCGCTTCCGCTTAATGAATTCGGTGCTAAAAATATCGGATTTAGTCTGAAGGATGAACTGACCTCGTTCGCAACATCCACCACCAAGTCCTGATCGCTCTTTTCCCCGTCGCTCTCCTGAAAGAAAATTACAGTTCCGTTAAAAAGGGGAAAAAAACACGTTAAAAGGGACACGCGATCTGGCAACATTAATGCTTCCTGCGTCACCACGATTCCTACTATCCGATACATTACGATTACCGCAATGTACGAGGTGGCTCGCGCAATTTGGAACAACGCTTGCCGAATGTTCTGTTGAACGTTAGAAAGTATGGTACAGGATAAAGATAAATCACTGGAAAAGTTCATTTATGTTCAAATATTTTGAATTTTATTATGAAGTTTTCTAATCAATTGATATTCAAATGTTTTAGATTTGATTAAGACGAAGTTAACACATTGCGTACCGAGAACGGGAAATCTCGTTTTTATATTTGATTATGAAAATATAATATTTTATCAGAACCGATTATTTATTTAAAATATATTAAATAACAATAAGATATTGTATTTTTCTACATTTAGAATTATTTTATTTTCTACAACTCTTGTACTAATGTTATGTCAGTTTATAACTGATTCTTAACCCACCAGTTAATTATTCAGTTAATTATCATCCATTTTTATTATTACAATTAAACATGACATTTTCACATCAATTTTCAATGTTACTTTGATCTCTTTAGGAGTCTGCAACTTGAGACTAAACTAAGATAATCAGTATATCTTCAAAACAGACCCTATAATACAGATACCGATGCTTTCAATAGAAAAGAGATATCTGATGTTCTCAGTACGATGGATGACAATTGTCATCTGCTGTTACTTGCAGGTTAAATAAAGTATTTTTAATAAATATTTGAACGGGATCAATATTAATAAAATCAAGTATATTAAATCTTTCACTCGTTAGTCATATTCTCCCGACATTAACTCTTGTCGAGAAATCGCACATACATTGAGGAAAAAAACTAGTTTCTTTTAATATTTCACATATTGGTGCATTATACAATTTTAATATTAAATATCAAATTTTACAATTTTTCTTTGTCAAATCAATTAGCGACTGAGAAACGCCTCTAGAGTGTAAAGGGATAATGACACTCTTCATCTTAATTTCCATTTACAAAGTACACAGGCTAGATAAATATCTAACAACAAATTACTTATAATAAATATCTGAATAACCACAATTTTAATAATACCAATTGTATCTTGTATCTTTCATTCGTTAATCATTTTCCCTCGGTATTAATAACACCCAAATTTATTTCAATTTTCGATCATAAAGTAGACTTTTTGCAGCTCGCGGTCTCGTTTACGCGGCACACCTTGTATTCCCGGTGAACGAGTTCAGAAGAGATTCTCGACCTATTTTGCCCGATTGTACGACCAGCAGATGCATCTTCAGAGACATATTATTAATCTTGACACTCGCGCACCTTCTCGAAACGTTTTGATTGCGCGGCAAGTTAATGGCGTTCGGCGAGTGCAGACGCCAGATACCCGGGTCCCGCGATTTGCGGCGTGTAAGCTGATCCCGTGCACTCGCGCGCGCATGCACTGGGATGTAAATGCGCTTCGATATCGCGCGTTCCACGGTATTTTCGCAGTCAACGGTGGCTACGTGTCCGTTGCGTACGTGAACCGTGTAAAATTTGCCTCACCGTTTGTTCCCTCTGTGTCTCTATCGCTGTCGCGGTTATAGCGTCGTTTGTATCCTCGAGCTTTACACCGTTCGTTGCTGTACTCTTTGTGGCGTTCCCTAAAGCCGAGCCACCGATGCTATCTTAATAATAATATTGTCTTGTGGCAGCGTTATGCGCCAAGTATAAAATAATTGGATTTGTACGGAAAGAAATATTTTCTCCTTAAATGTATGGCGTTCTGCTATACGCCGATACAACATCTGTTGCTTGTTTTATTGCTTCCCGAGACTTGTTATGTTTGCAGCGAAAATAACAAGGGCTTTAAAAATTCGTACGATATTTGGTTTGTAATTTGTTTTTGGACGATTCGTGTTGTTAGCTGACTAGTCAACGAACGTTCCTTTTTTAATTAATTTTCTATCGTTGAATGTCGTATGAATTAGTTGCTTTTAAATATGTGATTGTTTTTTGGAAAATTTCTGCGTTTCAGGGTTAAATAATACTGTTATGGAATGGAGTGGTTTTAATTTATTTTAGAACGAGATTCAGGATTCACAGGCTTCACCTATGGACTATAGGTATGTAGTTCAATTATTATGTTAGAAATTTTGATATTACTTTGAACCATAGGTAAATAGTCGGAAAATGTTAGGAGCAATTAATATGCTTTGGAAATAAATTTCTCTTCTTATTGTTAGGAAAAAGTTACAAATGGTTTACATTGAAATGAATAACTGTAAAAACGTGTCGATGAAAATGTTTCCTGTCGACGGTACGAAGAGGAACTCGTTTGATTAGCAAACTAAACGGCTCAAACGTCGAAGACTTTTACCGTCGATGGAGAATTTCATTGCCGATGTGATGAGACGGAATTCCACTTGAGAATCCTACTCTGCGCTTAGGATCTCGTCCTTTGTTCGAGTATTTTGAAACATCCAGAATGTCTCGAGAATTCGGAGTAGCTAAAGTACCTGTAGATACCGGAAGTACCTAAGGTATCTAGGTTATTTGTAGCGAGATAGCTGAAGGCCTCAAGGAACCGAAAGTCCCTTTGTCATTAGTGCCCACAGCACAAAAACGATTTAATATAGTTAAAAATGAAAATACCTAGAGCTGGTGAGCCATTTGACCTAAATACTACGGTTGGAATTTTGAAAGCAATCTGAATTTTCTAATAAATACTTTCTCTTCATTACTCAAAATATAATACATTGTCTTAGAATTATTTGGAATTTATTTAAATACAGTGTTTTGCGCATTCCAACGCAAAACAAGTGAAAATAAATTTAAAACGTTTTATTATATTTAAAATGTAAATATTATTAGACACGTGAAATTGCCATAAAATTCTTCGATTCTATAGACACATTTTCAAGTGTTCAAATTTTGAAACGTTAGAATGTTGAAATGTTTTAAATTCTCAAAGATACGAATTTAAAAATGTTTAAATATTAAAATTGTCCAATAATTAAACTTTCAAACTTCCAAACTTGCAAAACTGCAAAATTGCAAACTTGCAATCTTTCAAACTTTCAAACTTACAAATATGTGTATTGCAACCTTCCAAACTTTCAAATTTACAAATATTGCAATATTGCAATATTCCAACATTCGAATCTTCAAATTTCTAGTTTACCAAAATAATTTCTACGTTCAAATTGAAAAGTGCTCGCATGAAAACCTTCGACCCCTCGAAAAAAGTAATAAACATAACCTACGAAGACTTAATGTGTCAAGGCAGCTCGTTTCCCAAAATTCACAGAAAATTCCCCGAAAGCACCGCGAATTTCTCGCAAAGTTCAAAAGTGGTCGTACTTTGAAAATTCAACCGTTAATATCGGGCATATCCGCAGACCGTCCAAAAGTTCGTAGGAAAATTCGCGGCGCCGATCGGGAGATCTCGCGATCCCTCGAAAATTCACGGTGTTGTCCCGTGCATATTGCACGCGAACAATACACCGCGGCGCGCAAAGACGATTACTATAACCGGGATACACGTAAGACGATAAACAACGGTGAACACCAGCGAATGGTAAATAACGTGCACGGCTGGGAGCTAGTGCAATTTGTAATTCGCGTATCTTTCATCGTTTATTTACCAGTTATCGCTCAGTTTCTACAAGCGGGCTCGTTTCCCGGCAGCGACCAGCCCCTCGGCACGGTGGCGTGTAACGAGCCCGGGAAGCGGGTCGCACGGGAGCGAGTAAGTTATACGCGCGCAGAGCATACCAAAGCGCTGCCACGCTCGAAACGCTGTCGGTCTTTAGCGCGCGTCGATTGGCCATCGATTCTGTTATTAGGCGCATGTAAAAGTAATTGTCGCCCCTGTATTCAAAATCTTGATTAAATGTCAAGCGGCAAGCGCCGCGTCGTTTAATCGAAATTCGTTCCCGCCGGTCCGACCAGCGTTGTTTAACCCTTTCGGCGCAGAATACTTCGCTGTCGATGTGGTAGCGCAGCAAAATTTTGGAGAAGACATTTTGTTGATTTTCGACGATTTTTGTAGGGATTCTGTGAATATGATTGTTATACTATAATTCGATATTTTGTGAGGATTTGGGAAATTGGGGACGGATTGTTTCGGATGAGTTGGTACTTCAATGCTTATGGATGATGCATATGTTACAGCGAAAGAGTTGAGTATAAATTTGTAGTTTTTGTGTGTAAGAATTCGATGAAAATGTGGTAAACCTTTTTTGAGATTTGTATTATGTTATTAATTGAGAAAGGAAATATAATTAGCTTAATTGATACGTTATTAGAGGGAAACGTGATTTCGTTTGAAAACCAAATATCGCGATGAAAAGAAACTGTTTTTGGAAGATTGTGATTTTTAATGGAATCGTATAATTTTCAACGAGTTAAATGACAGAGCTTGTAGTTTTTTGTAAGCATTATATTAATTGTATATAAAGATCGTTAGTCTAACAGATTTTCGTATTTTAGATCTTCAATTTAAATGAGATATTCTATATTAAAACAATATTCTGAGTGTGCTATTATCAGTCAGTTCTCTTCTCATAATTTTTATCAATTTCTATTTACAACTACCGTTTCGATCGATATAATAACGTTATCGAATACCTAGTTTTCCGCATTGAAGCTTTTCGCAACGGGACGCGGTACACGGGCCCGTTTCCATTGTGGATTCGCCGAGAACTTTTTAAATATTTTCTGTTCGAATCGGGATTAAAAAACACGGCTTTTGGTTCTCATTCAATGAAAAACGCATAGAAAGCTCTTCCGTCGTTCGTTCGTTCGTTCGTTCGTTATTCGGACTCTCCGTTGTAAGTAATAATTCAAGATTGGGGAGGAACGGAAAAAAGCTAAGGATAAATACGGTGTAGTTGAGTTACGAACTTCTCCTAATAAATTTATCATCCCATTAACATTCCCGCGCTGATACGGGCGCGTTTAACCAAACTATAA